ATCTACGCAAAATCGTAAAGATCCATCTTTCTTTGAACAGTCGCATTAAAGTACTATTTCATGTCTCAGAGGTCTTCGAGCCTTTGTCAAATCCCATTAAATGATTGTAGTTCTAGGACTCCAATGCATCTGAATTTATATTTAATTTTAGATTGACATCAGGTCACATTCAATATTTGAAGTCACTCCTCCATTCATTGTTAATAAGTAATTCAGTAATTTGCTTTTTGAGTTTTTGACCCATAAAAAGAGAATGAAATTTATGATTTACTGGTGCGATGGGGTTATTATAGTTTTTAGGTCTAGTCTAGGGACACCATGCAGTAAGAGAGCCAGTTTCCCTGGCTTTCATTAGTTGGTAATGTTGAAGCATATGTAGGAAATTTTTTATAGGGTTTTTTGCACTCTGAAAGATGTCATAATTTTTACTTTATAACTTAAAAAATTATTTTTTTTATATTGCAATTTGAATGTCACAAATTAGTTCCAATATATCTCTCGGACTAACATCCATTTCAGATTTCGTTAAAAATCGATACACTTGTCACGCACATATGTTGTTATTGAACAAAAATATAAACTCGTAATTTATATTCTTTGGTGGCATATGAATTATTTTTTAACAGAATTTAAAACAGATATTAGTTCGAGAGTCAGATTGAAACTAATTTATGACATTCAAGGGTTCAATGTAGAAAAAATAATTTTTTAGGGTATAAAGTGAGAATCGAGATATTTTTTAAGATACAAACTGCAAAAATCCCTTTTTTATATCTAAACCCGAGAATTATTATAGTTGCTCTTCTTTTTTAACTAATGAATTTTATGTAAGCTCAGAATATATGCAATTATTTTATATTAATTTATTATTTTTAACCATCATATTTGCAAAAATGTTATATAGAGCATATCAAGCCCTTTGATGCAGAAGGAGAGGACTCGGTGATTCACAAAATTCTGAGTCGTGTTATATTTAATTTTGTACATCACATGGTTTCTGTGTTAAAATTTACTTAATTCATATTTGTATTAAGTAAAAAAAAATTAATAATAAACATATTTGTATTTACTTCCAAAATTAAATTACAAAGATAAATGATAGAGATATAAATTTAAATACCGGTTTTAGTGAGGATGATCGGTGGTAGTGGTGGTGAGAGATGGTTATAGTTGTGATGGGTGACGACGACCGATTGTGATGGTAACAACCGTGGTGGTAAGGTAACGGTTGCGGCGGCGACGATAGTGGTGTTGGAGTAGTGGTGGTTGTTATGAAAAAAATGGTGGTGGTGTTGATGGTGATGGGGCGATAGAGGAAATGGTTGGGTGACAATAGTAATGGTGATTGTGGTGGTGGGACGATGAGGGTAGTGGTGAGGCGGTGGGTGTGGTGGTGGTGGTTGTTGTGGCAGAGGTGGTAGTGAGGCGATGGGGGGTAGAGGTGGTGGTGGTAGTGGTGATGGCGACAAGTAGGGGTGTCAAACGTGTTAGGTTAAACGGGTGACGGGTGAAAAACATATAAACTCATACCCAACTCGTTTAATAAACGAGTGAAAAAACTCAATACGAACACGAACCGTTTAATAAACGGGTAACACGACACGCTCGTTTAACCTTTTAATTTTCATAAAATTATTCTATTAAAGTTTTAATCCACACTAAAAAATTATTCTATTAAAATTTTAAACTCCATTAATTATCCACTTGGTTAGCGCTTGCAAAGGCAAGTGAGAAAGTTGAATTACTAAAGAAAGGGGTAGCAATTTTTTATAGGCACGGGGAGGTCTCCTTCTTTGAATTTGTCGACGTGGGATTCAAGTGAAAATGTTTTACTATGCATTTATTGTGTAGACCCACAAGAAGACCATGTAACTTGTCTCATATCTAGCACTGCAATGCTCACTGTGCAGACCCACAAGAAGACCTTGTAACCTGTCCTACATCGAGCATTGCAATGCAATGGGGTAAAAGAATAATTTGTACTTAATTGCCATTAGAGTGCCAATCTCTCATCCACTCAGCAACTTGGTTTCTTTTTTGCATATGTATATAATATTTTAATTCTGATTATTTTTTTTAAAATAAAATAATTATTAATTTATTATTATATTAATTTTTTTTAAACGGGTTGATAGGTCTCACCCGAACACGACCCGTTTATTAAACATGTTTAACGGGTCAACCTGTTTATCACTCGAACCCGTTAAGGTCTCACCTAAACTCGTTTAATTCGTGTCGGTTAATTGTGTCGTGTCTAATTTTGACAAGCCTAGCGGTCGGGCAGTTGGGGGGTAGTTGTGGTGGTGAATCAGTTTCAAACCCTAATTTTTTTTAAAGTACTTATGAAAAGTTATAAATCCTATAAACACTTTTAAAAACTTATTCCAGACACACCTTGACGAGCTTATTTTTCCTATTAAATTTAGGGTATTAATATAAATTATTAGATTAATTATAAAGTAAAATTTAAGGAGATTTCAATCACGAAAAGTAAAAGTTATATATATATATATATATATATATATTATCTACTTTATCTTTTCAAATAAGTTGTCTGTAAGTGTTGCTTAAAACTTTTGCACTTTTATTCTCGTTNTATATTAATTTTAATATATATATATATATATATATATATATATATATATATATATATAAAATACAATACAATTCAAATTTTAAAAGATAAATCAAATTACTTTTGCTATTCGCAGTTGAGATATTTTTAAATTTTACTTTAAAATTAATCCAACGACTAATATTAACACTTCAAATTTAATAGGAAAAACAAGCCCTTAAGGGTGTGTTTTGAATGACTTTTTAAAAATAATTTTATATCTTATTTCTCGCAAGTATTTAAAAAAAAAAATAAGTGTTTGAAACCGCCCCACTACCACCACTACCCCTACCGCCCCAATTACCCCCACCACCACATCACCATCACCACAATTACCCCGCCACCCCCACCGTCGTCGCCATCAACACTATCGCCACTCTACCACACCCACCACCCAATCATCACCATCACTATCACCACCCACCACTATCCCACCACCATCACTAGTACCATCACCGCCCCACCACCTCCACTGCCCCACCACCACCACTATCCCCACTACCACCACTACCCCTATCCTCACCACCACTACCACCACCTCCACCTCCACCGCCCCACCACCATCATCCCCATAACCACCACCACTGTTGTCACACCCTAGCTTCATTGCCGTCCCACCACTACCATTGTCACTAACACACTATCACCGCTATCGGCATCACCACAGCCACCGACCTCTGTCGTTACCACTACTGCCACTACCCCACTTACCCCTTTGTCATCACCACCTACCACCAATTGTTATCACCCCACCATCCATTACCATAATCATTTTATTTTTATAATTATTACCATTACCACTATCATCCCACACCCACTGTCATCACCCACCACCACCGTTGTTTCCCATTATCACCTACTACCACAACTCACCACCACCCGTCGTCGCTCACCATCTTCACCAATTGCTGTCACCCACCCCCACCACACCTACCACCTATCATCGCCCATCACTACAGCCACCCACTACCACCATTGTCACCGTCCATCACTATCGTTGTTGTCCCACCACCACCACTGTCAACTACCATCACATTGTCCTCCACCACCCATACCCTCCACGACTACTATCACCGTTGCCACTCACGGCTGCCACCAACACAGTTGTCACCATCTACCACAACTACCNCCACCCACTACCACCATTGTCACCGTCCATCACTATCGTTGTTGTCCCACCACCACCACTGTCAACTACCATCACATTGTCCTCCACCACTACTATCACCGTTGCCACTCACGGCTGCCACCAACACAGTTGTCACCATCTACCACAACTATCATCGTCTCCCATCATCATCACTACCATTCACCACCACTACCACCGCTCACCTTTACTACAATCGGTGCTTAAATTCATTTCTTTCTCCTCTATATTTGTGATTTGATTTTGGGTGTGAAATACAAATATATTTATTGTTGACTATTTTTTTATTATTGAAGGCACAAGGATTAATATATATATATATATATATATTGCTTCAACGGTCAAGATGTTCGAATTAGTTTATGTACACTTCGATTAATTTTTTCTTAAATCCAATTAAAAGCAGGTCATCCATATCGAATTTAAGATATTTATGAAAGAGAAATTCCTCATGACCCTAACCCCAAAAAATTACTATAATTTGAAGTCATAATATCTAAATTTATAATTTATCTTTACTACTACTAGTATTACTCCGTTGGGGTTACCTAACTCATATTCAACCTGTTTATGTTTACGTATGCCATCAAATTCTTCTAAAATTTGGTTGAATTCTTATCAAATCAATCCAATTATTGATGGTTTTGATATGTTTAATTAATTACGACCTAAATCAGTTCAGATAATCGTGGGATTTTTCGAACTGGAGTGACACCCAGACAAGTTAGTGTTACTGATTTGAACATTTAAAACCCTATAGCAGTCTACTCCTCAAGTCAAAATTCTTGATTTGGGGTATGTGAGAGTTGGAACAGTGATTCTAACAGGAAATTTTGGAGGTAATTACCAGAAACTAGGGTTTACTGCAAGTTAATTAAATTTTCAATAACTGCATTGAATGTTCTAAATGTGAAACCCTTTAGCTGAATTAATTGTTACATACCCATGCTTATTGATTATGTGTTAAATTTAGTGTGAGAAACTCTGGATAATTGGTACTGACAATATTCTAGGGTATAACACCAATGAAAAATTGGTGTTTTGTTTCTGCATAAAATCTATAACTCCATTGTTGATAATTGTCTCTTTCAATACCCTGGTGACAAGGGAAAGGGAAGGAAAACCCAGTGAAATGGAAAGAGAAATTCTTATTCAAAAGAATCAATTTTACACTCATGAATATTGTCTGAAAGAAAAGACCTTAGCTTATGCATGAATTCTTCATCAAAAGCCTACATCTTAAACAAGAGAGTCCTTGCTTGATTTCTTAACTTCTGCACTTTCTTTGTCTTGATGGCCCATGGTCTTCACAGCCAAAAGTGGTGTAGTATCTTTGTCTTTAATCTGAAACAACAATCACCAATTTTATCACCAGTTTGATTGAAAACGTATTATTAAGTGTAGGGAGGGAGACAAGGGGATTTTGGGAATTGGGTGTGTTCAGAGGTACCTGAGGCCCCACTGGAAGCTCGCCTAATTGCTTCTTCTTATTCTCATTGGTGCAGAAGTAAGAATATAAGCCCATTCCGACAATGGCGATTAGTATCCCAAGGATGTTCCTCTCGGTGAAAGGGTCATGCAACAGTGTATAACCAAATGCAAGAACCAGGCATGTTTTCAAATGGCCAAGGACTTGATATGTAACAGGTGACGTCTTGCCAATAACTAGAAAGGTGCTAAAGTTGACAGAAACAGCAATCAAGCAGGAAAGGATTATGAATCCCTGCACATATTCACGATAATTCATGTATTTATATTGATGATATGCATGAGCATTCAACCATGAATTGCGAGCAGTGCTTGGAAAATAAAGACATTCATGAATATTAAGGTAGTACCAAGACAATCGGAGTATAGTTGTGTGAGAAGACATTTTGCTTGGTGAGGAACTGATCTACCGGAGGGCCTGAGACAAAAAGAATAGCTGCTTGAAATGGGGCTGACTGGTAGAGCAGCTGTGTGGATGACACATTGAGTCTCTTCTGTATTGTGTTTGTGAGCTGAATTGAGCATTTGGTTAAGAATGGACAACTGATTTCGAACAGAGTTAAACCTACTCTTATGCTAGCCATGTTTCAAGTTTCTACCTCAGTAATTCAGCCCACTAGAATTTCCGCCTTTCTGTGATGGAAAATTTATATTCATTACTGTGCAGACCTAAATTCCACAGCTACCAAAATTGGGTTACCAAAATTGAGGATATGCTATTAACTTCTATAAGATTGTTTTGAGTGGCATCCATTGATGGACTCCCTTTTAAAACTGCATATTGTATATGATGGGATTGTTGGTCTTACTGATAAGTTTTTCAGGAGAAGATAATGTTAGTAAAAGGATACAATTTGACCAACGCAAGTTGTTACAATAGCTAGAAGAGAAAGTATTGTCCCGACGAAATTGAGCTGAAGATCTGTTATAGAAGCAATCCCAACTCCAAGAAGTAGGAGGAGAAGGGAGAGCTTTATCTTCTGGCTGCAGAGATTAGGCAGTGAAACACATTAGTGATCTGTGAAATTCCACTTCAAAATGAAGTAGCTGAATTCACCCAAGTGTTTATAGTCCTTACCTGAATTGTTTTTTCAAGAAAACAGTTTCCAGTAGTACAGTGAAAGGTATGATTGCAAGTTTGGTCATCTGCAAGATAAACATTACAATATTGGTAATCTGCAAGATAAACATCACCCCAGTGCTACTTTGGTTCGTTCTTTGTTCGTGTTATATATGATTTTCTTCACATATTGAATGGGACTATCACAGGGAGTATTGTCATCATCAAGAACCATAGTGAACAACAGAAACTTGGTCATTTCAGTACTTCCCAAAACTATTCTTCTGGCTCACGACATGTGGTGATTCCTGTTTTCCTCGGTGACTCCATTGGTAATGATAGATTTGTATTTAGGAACCCAAAAAAACAACGCTGTTCATTTGCATTACTTTTGAAGCATATCCTTGCCTCTTGTTTTTCTCCTTTATGGTTTTCATGTCTAAGGATTAAAATTATGTATGGTGTGTTTGATCATTTGCTCATTATATCACCCTGCTGAGTCTAACATTTCTTTTTGTTTTTGGTAAGGAATATTTGGTTTACAAACCGAGTGGTAGAAGTATTGCAATCTCTAACAAAGATTGGTTTTATGCTCTTGGGATGGGAAACAAAACCAGTTCTCTGGAAGAGACTCTTCAGCTTTTGTTCCAGCAACCCATTAAGCTGCCTTGCTACAGGCTCTAGGAAACTATTTAAGCTGAATCCTATTCATTGCTGCACATTTACTTGTATCGGCTATGACATTACCATAATTTGGGTTAAATTACGACTTAAAAAAGATTAGTTATCCCTCACTCAATAGGCTGAAAAAAGTTGAATGAATCCTAACGTTTACGAGTTGATACTATTGGAGGCCCAAGGCGACCAATATGAATGAGATCTTTTGTTTTTAAAAAATTATTTTAAAATTTTTATGTAAATTTTATTTTTTTTAGATGAAAATTTCTTATTACGTTTTTGTATTAAGTTTTGCTAGCATATCTTTTTTGATTGATATAGAATGAATAATTGGCTTAATATTTCTTAGACATTATCAAACTTACCAAGGATTTTTTTAATTTTAATTTTGAAAAACTTCTATTTATAGAACAATTTTTTGTAGAATGTTAATAATTATATTTTGTAGAAAGAATGCATTGGAAAAGAATTAAATATTTCTACATAATTAAGTATCTCAAGTAAGATTTTTTTTTTTGTTTGTAAATTTTTTGTTAAGATATTTAAATCTTAAAATCAACCTAGACCATCAATAGCAAGAAAACTTTCATATTTAGTCTACACTCGAGATTAAGACAAAATTTTTTAAATTGTTACCGTTTAATGAGTATAAGTTTTCGAATTAAATAGAAAATCAATAAATTCTTAAACTCAAATATTTATCTAGTAGATCTTGTTATTTCGTCCTTAATGTTTTTATTGGGACCTATGGGAGTAATTTGATGCATAATTGATTCTTTTAGCATTGACATTTTGTGATTTTTTTTTTTGCAAATGTTATTGTATAAAGTTAATGATTGAACTTTTTGGTCGGGGTTATCCCACATCGAATAGCCTTTGGGTGTATGAGTAATATCTAATGTTTTCACTGGCCCTTACTCTGTTAGAGCAAGTGGTTAGTGTTTAATCAAAAAAAATAAAAAATGCGTCATTGAGGCGTTTGGTGGTCGGGCCTGGCCTCCCTCCTCTTTGAGACAGGTGTCTCTGGGGCCATGGTAATAATGTCTGGGTGGTGGGGGCTGAGACTATCCCACATCGGATAGTCTTTGGGTGTGTGAGTAATATATAATGCCTTCATTGGCCCTTACTCTGTTAGTGTAATTGGTTAGTGTTTGATAAAAAAAAATAATAATAATAATAATTGGCCCAAAATAATTTAATCTTTCTTGGTTTAGGCTTTTGTGGGGCTTTTTTAAGGGCTTATTTCTATNCACCAAAGAGAGTTATGAGCAACTCAAGGCAGTCACCACCCTTCAAAGTGGCAAAAAAATTGATAAAAATATTGTGTCAAAAGTCTCTCCCAATGTCACATTGCCATTAGAGAAAAAGACTAAGGATGACACCGAGGGGCGTGAGGTGATTGATAAGGTGGGTGAGAAAGAAAAATTGGTTAAAGAAAGAGTGCTTGTTTCCCCAATGCCTGCTTCTTTTCCTAATCGTTTGAAGCCACCCGTTAAGGTGGCTTATTATGCCAATATACTTGAGATGTTTAAGCAGATAAAGATCAACATTCCATTCCTTGATGCCATTAAGCAAATCCCATCTTGTGCTAAGATTTGAAGGATTTGTGCACCGTGAAGCGGAGATTAAATGTGCACAAGAAGGCATTTCTCACTGAGCAAGTGAGCTCAATCTTGAGGACCAACACCCCACCCAAGTTCAAGGATCCCAGATGCCATACCATTGCCATAACAATCAGGAATTATTGGCTGGAGCAAGCTCTCCTTGATTTGGGGGCAAGTGTTAACTTCCTTCTGTACTCGGTGTACCAACAACTCCAGTTTGAAGAATTGAAGCTATGACGCCCCTAAAACCGAGGGTCATATGTTAACCATTGACCCTCCATCAACTCGCGAAAATACCCGTGTTTGTCGCAAATGCGACGTCACGTCAATAACATCCCCTTAATCAGGATTATAACCCACACGTGTACATTTTATCCTTTAATCGTATCGTGGTCCAAAGTATCACATTTTATACTTATTTTATGTCCATTTATATCCTTAGAACCAAAGAACCCATAGCCCAAAAGCTTGCAAAGTAATTTTAAATTTTTAAAATTTTGGAAAGAGTACCGGTATTGTGTACTGATACTGTGAGCCTTCTGGAAAATTTGTACCGGTACGACATACCAATATGTTCTACCTTCTGGACAAGACTGTACCGATACGGTTAACCCACTAAAAAATCTATACAGGTACGTGTAACCCACTAGACCTCGTTGTACCGGTACTCTTTGCCCAATTTTGCCTATTTCACCTGTTTTTGATTTCCAATCCATTCCACCAACTTTCAAAACATGTTTAGTCAGGTTTTTTCAAATGAAACCCATTATATACAAGTTCTAGTACAAATAATCCCGTACAATTACATGCCCAAAATATAATTTTCACAAAAATTATACAAATTGAGCTATCAAAAGCCACAAGTCAACTCTTTTCATCTTTGAGACTCGAAATGAGAGTCCTCCGCCGATGTGAACCTCGCACCTGCAACGTTTTCCTGTATAGGGTAAGCTAAGCTCAATATAGTGTCTCTTATAGAGGCTACCCCCAAGATGCATATGAAATGTGCTCATTCAACAATCAAACATTAATTTCCATTCAAAACCAGAAGATGCCATTCAACGTTGGAATTCTACTATGTCATGTCATGATATGAGATGAGACTCACTTATGCACTTCAACCTGAGTCCTTACCGACTCCTCCAACACAATGCAATGCTAATGTGCAGTAAATCTATCATTGAGGAATTTCATCCAATGATCATTTGGAAATAAAGGTCATGTGATNTTTTTTTTTGCAAATGTTATTGTATAAAGTTAATGATTGAACTTTTTGGTCGGGGTTATCCCACATCGAATAACCTTTGGGTGTATGAGTAATATCTAATGTTTTCACCGGCCCTTACTCTGTTAGAGTAAGTGGTTAGTGTTTAATCAAAAAAAATAAAAAATGCGTCATTGAGGCGTTTGGTGGTCAGGCCTGGCCTCCCTCCTCTTTGAGACAGGTGTCTCTGGGGCCATGGTAATAATGTCTGGGTGGTGGGGGCTGAGGCTATCCCACATCGGATAGTCTTTGGGTGTGTGAGTAATATATAATGCCTTCACTGGCCCTTACTCTGTTAGTGTAATTGGTTAGTGTTTGATAAAAAAAAATAATAATAATAATTGGCCCAAAATAATTTAATCTTTCTTTGTTGGTTTAGGCTTTTGTGGGGCTTTTTTAAGGGCTTATTTCAGTGGATTGAAATTTTTGGCCTATGTCATACTAAGAGGCCAATGAAATTTGGGGGCCTCATTCAAAGATGGGGCCTAAAGCTTATGCTTCAATTGTTACACTCCGAGCCAGCCACCCCTGATCTTATCTGATTGAGTCGTGATCACTCTCGATTGAGCTGTAACTTCCGGTACAATATTAAAAAAGTAAACTTTCGAAATGGTATCTAAACTAACACTTGCTACCATAAACTTTAGCTTAGCTTTTTGATCAGTAGGGGTGTAGGGGGTCTAGCAAAAGCACATCAGAGCAAGGTTAGTCCAGTACTGTACCTGGTAGAAGCCAATGGAGTTAAATCCCAGGCTCAAGTTGAGAAATCCGATGGAAACACCATTTAGAATGCCAAAGAGCATCACAGTCTTCATGTCAATTGGTTTGTTCTCAAAGAAGTTTAGACGTTGTGCCACATGAAGTGTGCAATACGTTACCATCAGATGCCAACTAGTCAGTGTTGTAGCTGGAGAAAAACATCATTGAACATGAATATGTTCTAAGGATTTAAAAGAATCGCCTCAACCAGACATTTTTCGAGAATATAACTATAATGTAAATTCGAGATGTGCATTACCACCCGTCAAATAAAGAAAAACTTACCGAATGGGAAACCAAGATTGCTCATCAAGGCTTTGTTGCAGATGACAATGGACACTGATGACGCCACGGAAAGAAACAATGCACCCAGAACGCCCAACTGGAAGCCCGATATCTCTCCCATTTTTTATGATATTCTATTAAAAAAAATTCCCATAAACAAACAAAAATTTGATAATTAGATAATGTTGGCACATATTAGGTGGCCACAAATAAAGAAATTTGAAGAAATGAAGTTTATTGGAGCATCAGGTGATCCTAACACAGTATATAAGGCTCGTGATTCTGGCAATCCAATCTTTCGTGTGCAAGGCAGAAATCCCCAAAAAATGATTTTTCAAAAATAGGTGATAAAAAGATTGAATTACTATGCGTATCTTAGTGATCGTTACTTTTGATGATCATTTTTTTGGTTGATTTCTCTTGATAATCTATTGATCAGAAGCATCCAGCAGCACCAAGCCGGGCTCTTTAGGATAATTTGAAGAAGGTGGAAGTTTTTAAGGAACTTCACTCAGTCTCGTTGAAACAAAAATCAATTAAGGAAATTATGTATGTAAATTGTAGTATATTTACAACTGAATAATTACAGTAATATTGAAAATTACCTTCAATTAACGACTCTAGCTTAGAGTGTTAGGTGTCCTGAAGAATCAAANTATATATATATATATATATAATACGACGTTTTCAAGATAATTCTGCATTCAAATTTATATGAATGTTGACATTTTTACTATCCAAAAATTCAGAAAATTATCTTTCTCGAACTCCTTCAAAGATTCGTGTCAGATTGCCCTAATCTTTTATTTTGTAGAAGCATCAGATCCAAGGTAAGTCAACTTTTCATGTTTCTAAATTACAGATAATTTAGAGACTCTAAAAAATCATTCTTCTTTCTTATTAAATGGGAAGAAAAATATTATTTTCTAAAAAAATGGAAAATAAAGTAAATAAAGAGATTATAGTCTAAAAATGAATAGCCCAGTACACCTGTACATCAGACCTCGCCTCTGCATGACTGCTGACAGTCTACAAATCCTTTTTATACCCAGTTTTCGATTTCCTGTCCATGCAATATGTCATATATTTGAGTTGAATAATTCCAAGGTAGTAACAAAAACAAACTGTAAACTCAGACGTCATAAATTCAAATCTTGACAATCCATTGGAGCTAGAACATTAGAAATTTATCTCCCAGAAGTGCACGTAAACTGAACCTAACACCTCCAACCGTTGAACTAAAATATATATATATGTTTGAGTTGAATCAGTCTCCAAAACTGGAGTATGTTTGAGTTGAATCAGTCTCCAAAACTGGAGAACATAGCCACGGAACTCTCCCAGACCAAATGATAGGTAGGACTAGGCACCTTATGCTCAATGAGATCGCATGAGATTANGCATCATTTTTCTAATTGCTGATAGTAAGTGGGTTAGCCCCATGCAAGTAGTACCCAAGAGGTTGGGTGTCACCATGGTAGCAAATGAGGATAATGAGTTTATTCCAACAAGGGTGATCACTGGATGGAGAGTGTGCATTGATTACAGCAAACTCAACTTATGCACAAGGAAAGACCACTTCCCATTGCCATTTCTCAACCAAGTGTTGGATCGAGTAGTGGTGCAACTATTCTATTATTTCTTAGACGGATACTCCGGCTACAATCAAATTGAGATTGCATTGGAAGATCAGGAGAAGACCACCATCACTTGTCCCCATTGTATATTTGTCTATTGTTGCATGATGGAGAAGATTGTAGAGGTGTTTATGGATGACTTTTCAATTTTTGGATTCTTTCAATCGAAGCTTAGAGAATTTAGATAGAGTTCTTGAGAGATACAAGGAGAAGAGCTTAATCTTGAATTGGGAGAAGTGTCACTTCATAGTGACACAAGGAATTGTTCTTGGGCATATCGTCTCAGTGAAGGGGATCAAATTGGAAAAATCAAAGGTTAAATCCATTTCCAACCTCTCTACGCCAAATTTCATCAAGGACATCAGGTTGTTTATGGGCCATGCCGACTTTTATTGTTGTTTTGTTAAAGACTTTAATGCATTGGCCCAACCTTTGACTAATTTATTGTCTAAGGATGTCCCATTCGAGTGGTCGGATAATTGTGTGGCATCATTTACAAAACTTAAAAGAATGCTTACTACACCTCCGATTATGCAACCACCTAAGTGGGATTTACCTTTTGAGATATGTGCGACGTGAGTGATTTCGCAGTTAGCGCAATGCTCGGTCAAAGGGAGGACAATAGACACTATGTAATATACTATGCTAGTAAGACTGTTAATAAAGCACAAATGAATTGCACCACTACTGAAAAAGAGTTGCTAGCACTAGTATTTACATTGAATAAATTTCAGTCTTACATCATTGGTTCATCGATAGTAGTCTATACTGATCACTCTGCTTTAATGTATTTGTTGTCTAAGCAAGATGCCATATTGAGACTCATCAGGTGGATCCTCCTACTCCAAGAGTTCAATTTGATAATCAAAGATAAAAAGGAGTGGAGAATGTGGTGGTGGATTATTTGTCTCGACTGGTGGTGCAAAGGCTGATGAGCACATTCCTATCCCAGATTTCTTCCCTGATGAACATTTACTTTCACTTCATTTTGTGTGTCCTTAGTTTGCTGACATATGTAATTATCTTGCAACAGGATAAATACCACCGCATTAGAGTCTGGAGGATAGAAAAAGGTTTATGGTGGATGTGAAGTACTTTTACTTTGACAACCCATACATGTTCAAGTACTGCCCTAACTAAGCCATGCAGAGATGCATACTAAAAATTGAGCAGCAGGAAGTCCTTTCATTCTATCATTCGAAAGCATGCGGTGGCCATTTCGCTACGAAGAAAACTTTAACAAAAACTCTACAGTCAGGTATTTATTGGCCCTCTCTGATAAAAGATTATATTTCATTTTTGTAAAGAATGTAATAGATGCCAATGTTTGGGTAGTGTGACCTGAAGGAACATAATGCCCCTCTCCCCTATACTTGTTATAAAAATATTTGATTATTGGGGCATCGACTTCATGGGTCCCTTCCATATATCATTTGACTATCTATACATTTTACTGATAGTGCACTATGTGTCCAAATGGGTGGAGGCTATCCCAACCAAGACCAATGACTTCCGGGTTGGGGTCAAATTTTTGAAAGAGAACATCTTTTTGAGGTTTGGGTTGCCTCGTGTAATGATAAGCGACGGTGGGTCACATTTCTATAATAGATTATTTGCATCATTGATGCATAAATATGGTGTCACACATAAGGTATCCACCGCATATCACCCACAGACCAATGGCCAAGTCGAGTTGGCCAATAGGGAGATTAAGAATATTTTAGAGAAAATGGTGACCCCAAATAAAAAAGATTGGTCATTTAGATTGACCAATGTCCTATAGGCTTACCGCACTGCCTACAAGACTGTGTTAGGCATGTCTCCCTATCGGTTCGTTTATGGAAAGACTTGTCATTTGTCAGTTGAAATGGAACACAAGGACTATTGGGCCATAAAGACCCTAAACTTCAATCTGAGAATGACCGGAGAGCATAGGAAGCTAGAAATGAATGAATTAAAAGAGATTAGAAGAGATGCGTATAAGAGCTCCAAAATTTCAAAAGAGTGAGCAAAGATCTTTAATGAAAAATCCATTGTGAGGAAGTCATTTCAGCCTGGCCAAAAAGTGCTTTTATACAACTCTCATCTCTCGATTTTTCAAGGTCAATGGACAAAGACTCAAGCCATTCTTTGAGGGTTTTGAAGGACAAGGAGTGGAGGAGGATTTGAAAGATCCAGTATATCCAGAATTGGTGGAGTTTTTTTTTTTTTTGTGTGCTTCTTAGAGTACAGTCGTTTTTATTTACTTTATCATTTCATGTCACTTACTTTACTTTTGCATATAGTGTTGTTTTTCCTAGTTGCAGATGTTGGTATTTTGTCAAAATCTCAAATCCAAGGTGTTCTCTAACCCTACTCATCTTTACATTCCTTCATTGCATATCATATCTTTTTGGTTGCATTGAGGACAATGCATGGATCAAGTTGGGGGGTCAGGTGCACCATACCATTTGCCTGATTCACCAATGTTTGTGGAAATTTTTGTGGACAATATCAATTTTTGTGGTGAAAATTCACCTCTCACATATCATACAGATTTTTGGTTACATTAGTACAAATTATGTGACAAATTTGAAACTTTTTGTGAAAAATATCTAAATGTTGATTAGTATTCCCTTATTAAGAGTGCTTAGGTTGGATGATATGTTGATCTTTGTTTTGAACTTTGATCACATGAGCATATTATAAAAGTTAATCCTAGGCGTAAATATCACTTATATATCTACTTTTGAACTTAACTATATTGTGCTCCTTGAATGTATATTTTTGGCAATTTACGGATTGGATTCATATTTTAGGCTTGACATGAATAGTGGAGATGAGTAAGAACTCATGAGAGCTTTAGTGTCAATCCTTTTTAGAGGGAACTTACATTTACTCAAGGAACAATTTTTTAAATTTTAAATTTGTTCAATAATCTCATTATTCTTGTTTTGGCTAGGTGCATTTGGGTGGTAGATTGACTTTGTCTTGAGATGAAAAAATGCTCCCCCATACTTATTTAGAAATGATCTTAGGCTATCTTTGAAATATTTCGAGCCTTGGCCTTTTTCTTGAGAAAATATTATCCCTAGTGTCGTGATTGAGCCTTAATTGAAATTTATTTTTATTTGACCAAGCCAGTGCAAATGATAAAAAACTACCTCACTTTGATTGTTCCTAGAGCTGAATATGAGTGATTGTAAAAAGAGAAGGAAGTATGGTGTGGAAATTCAAACAAAAAGGCTGAATGTTAGAAACTCAAAGAGTTAAATGGGAAAAGAATGAAAATCCAAGAAAAAGAGAAAAAGGGTGAGAAGAAGAAAGAATGATCAAAAGAAAAGGAAATGTTAAGGAAAAGAAAAAAAAAAGAAATTAAGAGTGTGGTGATGGGTTTGGACTGAAAATCCCATGAAAAGGGATATATTTTTGAAATAAAGTCTTTCACTCGGAATAGCCCTCTTTGTTATCATTTACCCTTCAATTCTTTTGCCTACATATCACC